GAGTCACCTGTGCCCACAGCCCCCTCCATGACTAATTGTATCTAATGAGCAATTGCGGGCCCCCGTGGCTTGGCCTGATGATGGCCCCAGGGGAAGCGCCCCTGAACCCCCGACCCCTTTCTCCTGCACTGCCTACTGTGCTCGGGCTTGCCATTACTGGCCAGCCCTGGCCTTTTCATCTTGCTAATAGCATATGCCTCCCTGGGGGCCAGAGAGCCTTGCCTTGCACCTCCCAGGCCCTGTGGCCGTACCCCACCCAGGCAGTACCCTGCCCGGCGCGGTCTTTGAAAAGAAAAACCACCCGCTGGCAATGTGGTCAGAGAGAGGTTGGCAGGACCCTTGGGCCCCTGGAAGAACCATCACTTTGGGTGGAGCCGGAGATGCCACTGCAGGCGCAGGCAGGTGCCAGGGGGCCTTGCAGTGTGACCCCACAGTGACTTTCCACCTGCCACTGCAGGCGTGTTCCTGAGTCAGAAGACAAGGAGGGAGGATGGGATTATGCCGTCCTGGGCACTCCAGAAAACAGTGGAGGGGCAAATGGAACATGTAGGGGTAAGCTTTACTCTCTTATCTGTGTGGAGCCCAGGAAAGTGCTTGAGTTAGCCTTATTTACCTTACCTGGACAAACTATACTTCTCGGCTGAAGGCCAAGATCACAACTAGAAACCAGAAGGAACAGGACATAAATGGTTGAGGTTCCAAAGGGACCTGGATTTTCATCCCCGTCGAACTTCGAGCTGAGGAAAACGGTAGGCTTCCAGAAAGTGTGCCCCTGCGTGTTGGTTCATGTTTAAGTCCAGAGCCTCCTGAGACTGAATGGAGGTCATCCACGGCACCAGGTGAAGAACACTTTGCCAGAACCAGTTTCCCAGATCTGCTTGGTAGATAGAATCACCTGGGTGCTTTTTAAAATGTGGTTCTGGGCCTCACCCCAAACCTACTGAGGCAGAATCCAGGGCCCTTGGTGCTGTGCTGCACACATGCACTGGCTCCGGAGCAGCGCTGCCCACTGGTGGTAGGACACCAGACACAAATACAAGCCACATGGGTAATTTTAAATGGTCTAGTAGCCACATTTGAAACTTAAAAATAAAAGTTTTGCCCAGTATATCCAAAATATCATTTCAACCTGTAATCAGTATTTCATTCTTTTTGTTTACATCCAACCCTTTAAATTCTGGTGTGTATTTACACTTCTGGCACACATCTGAGTTGAGGCCAGCCACATCCTGGGTGCTCGGCCACCACGACTCGGCTGCCCTCCAGGAGGTGTGGGTCTGGAGCTCTGACCAGGACCCAGAAGTGCTCCTGGACCCCCAAACAGGCCAGGTTCTACCACTTGCACTGACAAAATCCAAAGAGAGACAAGTGGTGAAACAGGAAAGGAATTTACTTTAGTGAGGCCAACACTGGGAAGGCAGCGACTAACATCATAAATGCTGCCTCTGAAGTGCTGAAAATACTCTGAGGTCTAGATAAGGAACAGGTGGGACAGAAGTCTGTGGGGATGTGCAACTGTGCACTAAAGATCTGATCCATCATGGTCTTGGGGTCTTGTTGGCTCATGGGGGCCGTCGTTGCTTTTGAGGGATAGTTTCAGTTCCCTCAGGATGCTCTGCGTGTTGATCTTTTGTCTGAGTTAAATAACGAGCTGGAAAAAAAACTTTTTTTTTTTTTAAGATTTTATTTATTCATGAGAGACACAGAAAGAGAAAAGAGAGAGACACAAAGGCAGGAGGAGAGGAAGGCTCCATGCAGGGAGCCCGACGCGGGACTCGATCCCGGGTCTCCAGGATCAGGCCCTGGGCTGAAGGCGGCGCTAAACCGCTGAGCCACACGGGCTGCCCTGGAAAGAAAACCTTAGTTAAAAAGTACAAAGATCAAAATGGAGGTAAAATCCCCTTTCACTGTTCCTTCAAAGTGGCTTAGTTTCAGTCCATGAGCAACACTTGGGAGGGAAGACTCATACTCTAGGTGTTTGCCTCACTCGAATGAAAACAGGTAAAGTAACCCACATTTTAGGTTTAGGTTTGAGGTTTGGCCTCTTCTTCATATTCTTAAATAAATAAGCATCCAGGAGATGCCTGGGTCGCTCAGTGGTTGAGCATCTGCCTTTGGCGCAGGTTGTGATCCTGGGGTCCTGGGATCCAGTGCCACATCAGGCTCCCTGCAGGGAGCCTGCCTCATTCTGTGTGTCTCTCATGAATAAATAAATAATAAATCTTCAAAAAAATAAATCAGCACCTAGTTCTGTCCTGGACACTGTACAAACAAGTGTGCTTCCATCTCCTTTCTGAGGCCCAGGGAGTTCTGGGGGGCAGTTCTCAGCTCCCAGGGTTTCTGCCCCCTCCCCTGAGGCGGGGGTTTGGGTTGGGCAGGGTCTTTGAGGGCCTCTCCTACCTTCCCAGGTTGGGTCCCCTGTTAGAGCCTGCCAGGTCCAGAAAGTTCCCTCCGATCCCCAGGGGTCTGGGTACTGGGCAAAGGAACCCTTTGTTTTGTGGTGAGGCTGGGATTTCTGTGCTCTCATCAGGTGGGGCAGCGGTGTGGATGTAACTGGGGAGTGGGAAAGGGTGTTCTGGGCAGTTTGTGCTCTGAATTTGAGTTCATGGTGATACTTTAAATTCCCTTCACAATTTTTTTTCCCTTTACATCATTAAATCCACTTTTGAATGAAAGAAAAGAATCGAAACAGTAACAAAACGTAGAACAAAAACCCCTTCCCCATTCTTTATAGCCAGAGAGAAGCTGGAGAAGTCTTCCTGTTTTCCTGGCCTTCCCTCAGCAACAGAGGGCTGTCTGTAGGGCACCACTCTCCCAAGACCCTTCTCCCTTCTGCTAGGAAACAGTCCCTCTCTGGATTTCAGCAGGAAATGCAGCCAGATCTGAGATTTCCTGGTGGCTGCTCGGGCCCAGGAGAGACACATTCCTCAGGAATTCCTCTGCAGCTGCTCTGGCTCTGGCTTCCTTAGAGTGGGTGGGAGGATATGCTAGGAATCAGGAGTCCTCTGATTCAGAGCTGGTTGTTAGGTTTCATTTAAACACCCCCCCCCCATCCTCACAAAAGCAAGGCTAGATTTTTGTGTTGCAGTTCTTTAACGAGCTTGAAAAGCTTGACTTGAGCTTATAGTAGCTGGAGGCAGAAATGTAAAAGAGATTTGAGAAGCCTGGAAGGGCGGAACCATTTGAACCCCTGAGAGCCTTCCACCTGGAGGCCAACCCCCCCCCCCAACCCTCCTACAGGAAGTGTTACCATTGAGACTGGCTCTCACACTTTACAGAAAGCATACAAAATTATAAAATCTTTAAGCAATGCAGAAGTGAGGAAAGTAGAAAAGGAAAGCCTTCTTTCACCCCCTTCCAGGAGTCACCCATTGTTGAATAGTGGGTAGCTTTCTGGTGTTTTGTTAGTTTCTCAGCCATTCACATTCAGATTTTTAGTTGTTTTTGCAAAACTGGCCTCCTTGACTTGTTTACCAAACACTTTTCCATACCAGTGTATGTTGATCTGAGCTTTTTAAAAATGACTGCAGGTATTTCAATAGAACTATTATATCTTACGGAAATTAACCAGTCCCCCAACTGATTCCCATTCTCAGCTGTTATAACCAATACTGAAGTAAACCCACATAATCTCATGTGTCTTTACACACCTACACACCCTGTAAGAAAAACCAGAAATCAGATTGCCTCGTCAAGGGGTATGTTCATTTTTTATTTTGCTAGATACTCCTAGATTGCCTTCCATGAATCATTTTTAGAGTTATTTCTTCCATCAATCTGGTTTCTCATGATGCTCCAAGGAATCAGATACCTTCAGGGAGTTGCGCTGGAGCTGCTTTAACAACTCTTGTCACTGAGCTGCTGTCACCCAGGCGTGGTGCTCAGCACTGGGGATACGTTTGGGTAAGAGACTACACGCCAGTTTGGGAGCCTGCTGAGCTTAAATAAAACAGATGAGATTGTGCTGCATGTGAACAGATCTGCACAGGGCCCTGTGACTATGCAGGGATACTGTGCCTGGGACAGGGGGCCTCGGACCTCTTTAGGGAGGGTGCTTGTTACTGTTTCCCTGCCCAGGTCTTATGCTCGAGGGAATCAGAGGAAGGCAGTAAGCCCATTGGTCACTACAAACCTCCTGTAACAGAGCCCGAATCCCCTTACTTGGGGATATTCCAGGAGTAAAAAGAGCCCATGGAACTTGAAGCCTTGTGGGAGGGAGGCTGTCAAAGTGCAAATCTAATTTAAGTACTTTATTTTTTAAAAAATGTATTTAACAGAGAGTGCACAGGGATAGCAAGAGGGGGAGGGAGAAGCAGGTTCCCCACTGAGCAAGGAGCCCTATGCAGGACTCCATCCCAGGACCCCAGGATCATGACCTGAGCCAAAGGCTGACGCTTAGCCGACTGAGCCACTCAGGCACCCTTAATTTAGTACTTTAAAGGGGAACCAAGGACCTTTAAAAGGACAGTATCAATTTCTGCTCTATCACTATTGTTTTTTGTTTTTGCAAAGTTAGGATCATGTTGATTTCACTGTCCAAGGTAGGCTGCCCAGACCAGAGGCTCCTCTTCTCAAATCAGTGATTTAAGAGATGCTTACTGGCACACTTGGCAAAGAGGAGTGTGGAACCCAGATGAGGTTTTGTGTCAAGCTGCACTTGTTGCTGAACATTTGGTATGCCCATGGCAGAAAGGAACTTCTAGATTGGCGCAGATTCCACATTCTACAACCTTCTGTCTTGTTCCTTTGTGACATATACTGAGATCTGAGCTCTGTAAAGGGCCCTTACCATTAAAGAACGTGCGCTCAAATCAGCCTTTAGGAATGCAGTGCTGAGATGTTCTGGTTCTGGGGGGACCTCGAGGTACCTCTAGTACCTTTTTAGTACCTGCCTTTTGACTTGGCAAGCTGAACCTTCCTCCTCTCTGCCACCACTCCAAAGGGAATAGCCCCGATCTTGTTGGGTTACTCAAAGCATGCCATGTCTCTCCTCAATACAGAGAAAAGAAGTTGAAGGCCAGAGTTCAAGAGTTGGTGAGCGCCTTGGAAAGACTCACCAAGAGCAGTGAAATCCGGCACCAGCAATCAGCGGAGTTCGTTAATGACCTAAAGCGGGCCAACAGGTAAACTCTCCATTTGAGGATTCCCAGTGGAGGCCCAGGGAGGGTATTTCCTTAATTGCTGGGAGCCATCCCTAGGGAATGGAAAGTCCTCACCAGTCTGCCACCCTCCTGCAAGCCTGGCCTTCCCTAATACATCATATCCCAAAGTGTTTCATAGAAAACTAAGAAATGTTCAGTAAAGGCTTCTCCTTGGGGCCTCAGATGTGTTTGGGAAATGCAGCATACTATAATCCCCTTAACAATTTATACAATAAAAGTTCTGAGAAGTCATACAATTAAAATAAAAAATTGTGCTTAAGCCAATATTTTCCAAACAAAACTAGCTCTTTAACTTTTATATGAGCAACATTTATTTTTTTATTTATTTTTAAGTAAATTTTGCCCCCATCGTGGGGCTCAAACCCATGACCCTGAGATCAAGAGGTACTCTACCAGCTGGGCCAGCCAGATGCCCCTGTGTGAGGAATGTTAAGTATCCCATGGAACATTACGGAGCACTGCTGTGAGACAAGCTCAAGTTTTTTGGGCTCTGGATCTCTTTACGGAAGCTCACGAAAACCTGAGGACCTCAAAGAACTCTGTTCCCAGAAATTATCTGTTGATGAAAAACTGAGACAAATTTTTCTGAATTTTTACTCATTTACAAAAAAAATTAATAAATTCATTACATGTAACACACTGGCATTCATTAAAAAAAAAAAACCTATTTTCCAAAAAGATAATTAGAAAAGTGGCACTGTTTTTACAATTTGCAAATCTCTTTAATGTCTGGTTTAACAGAAGGCAGCTAGATTAGCACCTCCACTTCACAATGTACTGTTCTGAAATCAAGGGAACACCGAGCTTCATGTAGACCTGAGGGGTGTCTGAGGCCTCTCCCTGAGAGGGTCTTGGGAATCCCTGGGAATTGGTCCTCAGACCACACTGGGAGGACCTGACTACATGGAAGGGACTGGAGTGCTAGTTTGGACCAGAATAGGTTTAGGACTTACCCAGCCTTGGACTTACCTCTTGCTCTCTTATCACCAGGCTCTTGGGAAGACAGTTCAGACACTTTGTATTCTGTGTTTGGTGAGCACCGTAGTTTATGGCCCTATGCTCTGAATCCCATCAGCCCAAAGTGTAAAGAGAAGGTATCAGAGTCTCTCCACACTCCTCCTAGGTGAGATCACTTAGACTGCAGGGCTTAAGGAACATACCTGCTAACTTACACTTGACCCATGAACAGCAGACTCATTACTTCTATTTAAATGACAGAATTCTGGAATTCAGCTGCCTTCATCCAGTTTGGGATGTGGCTAGTCTGAGTTGTTGGTTAACACCCTTCCTAATGAGGGACTAGCCTCTAGCATGGAAACCAACTGTAGTTAAACCAGCAGGTGAATCGCCACAAGTGTGGAATACCTGATTTCAGATTCTTACTTTAGAGGCCGAGTGACCTCTCTGGACCTGGTTACCCAGCAGACAGAACAGCGAGTGTCTCAACACTAGTCAGATGACTCTTCCTTCTCTCCACTCTCCCCTCCACCCCCACCCCACAGCAACCTGGTGGCTGCCTATGAAAAAGCAAAGAAGAAGCATCAAAACAAACTGAAGAAGTTGGAGTCTCAGATGATGGCCATGGTGGAGAGACACGAGACCCAAGTGAGGATGCTCAAGCAAAGAATAGCTCTGCTGGAGGAGGAGAACTCAAGGCCACACACCAATGAGACTTCACTTTAATTGGCAGTTGGGCACAAAGCTCTGCCTGTGGAAGCCTAACTCTAGCAGGTCACCGGGGAGAGAAGGGCCCTGGGAGACAGAGCACCTGGTGGGAGAGTGACAAAAGGGAAGGCTAGCAGGTAGGTCAGCACCTGCATAACAGAGTACCATGGACTCAGCTCTGGGGATGAGTGGCCTGGTGATACCATGTACTCTCCCCAGAGGATCTTGTGCCTCCCCTTCTGGGACCATGGACAGTGTGTAAATACCTGCTCTGTGTGCCATGCTCAGTAGGCCTTGCTTTTGCTTTCAGCACTGGCAGTCACTCTCCTACCCGTTCTGAAGGTTGTGCATCAGTGGTACCCTTGGCATTTGTTTTATAAGATGGTCCATTCTTTTCTTCTCTTTTGGTAGTGATCTGGTCTTTCACATCCCCAGTTTCTCCTTTCTTTCTTCAGGGATAAACACAGACACACATGTGGGAGTGGGAGAAGGTGTCTTTGGCCTCTGGAACTGCTGATTTGCTTACTGTGCAACCAGGATTTGGCTTTCAAGACCCTCGTACCAGCTCTGAGAGACAGGCTGTCACTCAGACGTGCTCCGAGAAGGAGATTACAGGGGGATGGTACATAGGGGTTACAGTCCCAGATACATTTAAAGTTACAGGTCAGGCAACCCCAGGGCTATGGCTGAACGATTGTTTGGGAGAATGAGCACTTCTTTCACCTCTCACTGTGGAGGTAGGGCTGGGAAGGACACTTTCTTTTGACTGTCGGATTTTCCCTCCCAGTGCAGCCTTATTAAAGCCAAGACTTAGAGCTGAGATAGTCCTATTGATACAGATGGTGGAACTAAAATTCTATCAGGAGTTTCCTCAAGAACAGAAGAGCATTGTTAGTACTTTTGCCCACCCCAGGGCACCACATAAATGCTATTCTGCAGGAATCAAAATTCATCCACATGAGTACACATGTAGCTCTGGACCTGCCTCTCTTTCTCTAAGGGCAAGACACAGGACACCAAGTTTTGCAGGTGATCCTACTTATTTAAAGACTGCTACTGAATTTTGCTTCCAAAAGGGCAGGGGGTGAAGGAATGGTTGTTGAGGCCTCCTTTTATCCATCCCCCACCCTGAAGTGGTGGTTAGTATACGGTACTTGAACAGATTAAATTTCAAGCAAACTGCTGACAGGGCTAGGCCAGGACCAAAGTACCTGAATTCTTTTTCCTGAAATTCTTTCTCCATCTTAAATTCATTAGTCCACCTCATCTTTCAATTCTTCTGTAGTTACCCCACATGGATACATTTTAAAGGACCACTTGCCTTTCATTCTGAGTTGAAGAGCTACCCAAGGTCCCCTGAGAATTATATCCCAATGCCAGAAATGACAGTTTTGTTTATGACCAGGTCACCACATTAGAGTCCCAATGTCCATGAGCTGAAGATCTGATTTCAGACAACCTGATACAAGTTTACCAGCCTTCTTTGCTATAGTGAAGGCCACTCCAGCCACCACCTAGGAGGGCAGAGCAGTTTGAGCAATTCTATCCCAAAAGCAACCACCCTTCTTTCTTAGGCCAGCAGTAGGCTGTCCATCTTACCAAAAAAAAAAAAATATATATATATATATATATATATCACCCCAAACCAAAAAAAGTTACCAGTCTGAAAGGACCAGCTTTTGGCTGATTTGATCACTGTGAAAGTGCCCCCAGGCTCCTGTTTCTGTTATGAATCTACCATTTAGTCAAAGTTCTTTTGATTTCTTTAAATCAATTTTTATATACTTCAGATAAAATTTCATTTTGTCATATGGAAAATGTGGCTGAAAAAGTTATGTGCAAAAAAAAAAAGGTTCAGAAGACAAAATGTTGGTTTTCCCCATTTTTCCAGTTTGCCAAGGGGAGATAGCGCTCTGTCCAAGGTTGGGAACATTCGTGGCTTTCCCTTTTGTGACTGAACAGGCATCGAAACAGCTTTCCTTTTCACGAACACTGTAAAGTGTGGCTGACACAAGGATACGATCCTCCCTGCTGACTTCCATCTACCATTCTTGGTCCAAGTTAAAAGAGAACTCCTCCTTTTAGGGTCATGTAACTAACTCTTCCAGACCCAGGAGGTCTCAGCTCCTCCATTATAAGCCCCAATATGACTGACCCTACCTGGCCTCCTTTCGAATTTATACTTCAATGTAATACTTTTAAATATGTGGTGATTGGGTAAAAACATTTCCCCAGAAAGAATGTTACTTTTATAAACGTGTGGAATTTAAAAAAGCAATTAAATAGCTACTCCTTTCCTTGTATTTTTCAAATACTCCCTAAGACAAGATCCTTGTTGAAGCTCAACCAACAGGCATTTGTTTATGCTACTTGTGGGGCCCAGTAAAGCCACATTGATTAAATAAATAATTGCAGGTACCCGAATACTTTTTAAGCTGACTTTTTCTTTCTAAATAGAAGTTTATATTAACCTCTCCATCATAGGTAGACAGTGTATGGATTTGTCTGAGGTTAAAAGTCTTCAAACTTCCATGTTTTTGTTTCTACTTCCCTCAATGGTTACCCCTTTTTGGAATTTACCTTCTCTGCTCCATCTCTGGCTCTTAGAGAAACAAGCATGGTAAGAAAGGATCCATTTTACAGTTCCCTTGGAATCTATGTCCCACTGCTAAATTAAGGAAAAAATCATACGCAAGAGACTTCTGCCTGTGGCTGAACTGGCATCAGTGTGTGGGCCTACCAGTGGATCTGATGTTGCTAAACACCACCTGCACCAGCTGCAAACTGCTATGGACTTGCAGGTGGTAAGATTCCTCTTTGAGACTTAGAGCAGAAGTTATTTATGATTCAGTATCTTAAGTGATCAGACAGTTGAGATTTATCACGCCCCTCCCTCCCTCTCTTGCTCTAGCCCCAAAGGTACACTAGATATTTCATCATTGCCAATGCAGGTAATTAACTCTTTCAGATTCACTCTTATCTGCAAGCATGTCAGCTTTCTGAAGTTAATATCCATGCTGCCTGAAACTGGAATGTTAAGTTAATAAAAAAATTAAGTACCAGTTAAACATAATTGCTTAATTCTCCTTTGAGATGCTTGCACTTGTTGCTAACTCTTCCTCTGAGCCTGCAGCAATACTTTAACAGGGATCTCAGAGAACTTTAAATTAGAGCCTTGACTACTCCAGAAAGGCAGTCCAAATTAGAGCCTATGCAATTTCTTTTTGAAAACTGTTAAAGTAGTAAAGTCCTTTCTATGGCCTCATTCCTAAGAACTCGAAACTATGTGAAAATCTCCTCCCAGTCCCTACCTACATATTGATCACATTATTTTAAATGGAGAAAAAAAAAAAAAAAACACTCCATAGTTTTACCTCATCTGGCCTGGACTATGCCACTGGCATGAATTAAAAATCTCTGTAGCTGCCTGTTCCCTTCTAAAGGTGTTCTTATGGACCACAAAAGTTATCCTGCAATTTTTTTTTTTCTGTCAATTATCTTAAAACCCTCAAGAGTCTGGGATATCATGCTCATGTTTTAGGTAGTGAGAAAGACATCAGGACTACTGAAAACACCCAAAACTTTGGATTAATGACATGAAACTCCTAAGGATCCCTAAAACTTATAAACCATTTACAAACACCTAACTGGGAGTTATGTCTCAGCCATGAAACTATGTAAAGCGAAACGATCATGCTAAGTTTACAGCTGTACCAAATTTCTAGATATAACAAGACATACAGTTAGAAAGTTTGTAGAGGGATGCCTGGGTGGCTCAGCGGTTTAGCACCTGCCTTTCACCCAGGGCATGATCCTGGAGTCCTAGGATGGGGTCCCACATCAGGCTCCCTGTATGGAGCCTGCTTCTCCTTCTACCTGTGTCTCTGCCTCTCTCTCTCTATCTCTCATGAATAAATAAAATCTTAAAAAAGTTTGAAGAGGCCAAAAGGTAGAGAATTCTGATGAGTGAAATTTCTGCATTGAATTTAATTAGGCTGTAGTCATAGGATTGCCAAGGTTTTTTGAGAGGGAAGGGAGCATAAGTAACATTTTTAAGTTTTTTTTTTTTCTGCCATAAGTGACAGCTTTGTAGAATAGCATTTTTTTTAAAACTCCAAAATAAATCCTATAGCAAATATTTTTCTATTTATCTACATGGAATGGCCAGTTTGGCAAGAAATGATACAGACTCTACTTGCCACACACCTATTTCTCACTGAAGTTTATCCAAATCCTATTCTGGTTCATTGAAACTTTGTGTTTATATTGGCCAGGTTGAAGATAGCTCAATCTGTGGCCTTCTGAAGTTCCCTGTTTCATACACTTGAACTTTCTAACAACAGATACATGTCTTAGGCCGCCAAACATTGACTTTTTAGAATTGGAACCAGAACTATCAATGCAGTGCTGGCTGCTGCCACCATATCATCCCTGAGCACTAGATGGCTGTTAAAATATAAAAATGGAAAAGAATACAAGCTGAAAAGCAGCTGTACATGCATTCTTGCTTTACCAATTCCTGTACAGAGGAAGACCATTTCACATCCAATGGCTGCATTTTTTTAATTGAGTTATATTAGATAAATTCTTTATCAACCATCTTGCATCTGAGTGAGCTCTTGCATGTGACCAAGAAAAGAAATCATTCTGGCCCATAACAGCAACTGCTATTGAATAACTAGATCCTTGACTAGTGCTTGATTTTTCCATAGTCAAGGTGGCTGCAAATCATTCATCCACTGATGAGCAGAATGAAGCAAGCCACCAACAAAAATTCCTCCACGGTCACACCAATGACCTGCTATTAGTTAGCTCTTGCTGTGCCATTCATTCTTGCACTTTCTGCAAATCAAATCCATGTGGGAAGTGTTCTACTTGTAGAACTCACAGAATTTACTGAGTGCTCATGTCAGGACTGCCAAGTAAATGAGGGCCCGTAACAATCTGCTTTCCTTTGAATGTAATGCAAAGATGACACATGTTCATTTTTCTATGCCTAATCAGTTTCTAGACATATTATCAAGAATTATTTACTTTGCATGAGATTTAAGTTTCCTATTATTTGAAAATGTGCTCCTTTTAAACCACCTGAATTAGAAAAACTTGCTTGAATGTACTGTCAGTTATTAAAGCACATGTGACTAAGTTTGCATTTGTCAGTATTGTTCTACTGTTTGTACTGAAAGTCTCATTTTAAAGTTGCCCCTTAACATTGTACTATACCTTGTAATTTTTTAGATTCTTCACTTGTATGCTTTAAATCTTTCCAGATGCCTTTAGTTTTTAGCCGCTGTAAAATAGCTACTTTGTGTTATTTGATATAGGATTGTTTTTTAAAAAACTCCATTTATTTATACAGAGACATTTATAATATTTTACATTCTTATATTCTGAATAAATATTTCTAATTCCATGTACTTTAACTGTGTTCATTAAATGGTAATAAGGCTGTCCTTCTGCAATCCAGTTGAACATATAAATGTCAAGCCTGTGCTACTTCACATTAAATTGAAAGTCCTAGTCAAAGCTGGGGACTACAAGACACTGTATTAGGTCAAAACAGTCAAAGAACCTCGTTTATTGCCAATTTCTATTTGGCTGCCTTTGAAAATTTGGTATGAATGGGAAGTTATTTATTAAAGTCAACCTGACGACAAGAAAGATTGCAAGGAGCACTGCAACATGTCTATTAGAAGACTATTTTCCTGAAATGTGGTCCGCTCTCAGTATGAAAGCAAAGTGTAATACCTTGGTCCCCTCTTAAAATTTTCTTTTTTTAAGATTTTATTTATTTATTCATGAGAATACACAGGAGAGAGAGAGAGGCAGAGACCCAGGCAGAGGGAGAAGCAGGCTCCATGCAGGGAGCCTGACGTGGGACTCAATCCCAGGTCTCCAGGATCACGCCCTGCACCGTAGGCAGCGCTAAACCGCTGAGCCACCGGGGCTGCCCCCCTCTTAAAATTTTAAATAAAATGTATTATATAGTGGAGGTCTCTAGTGGAAAAGACTTTTTCCCACGATCCAAGGACCTTCAAGCATTCTATCTGGAAAACCTGGTTCAAGAAAAAATATAAGAATTATTGGATTGTATGTATCTAATCCATTTTGGTTTAAAGCAATAACTAAACTATTAAGGGTTTGAGGTGGAGAATACATACCAGTTCTTTATTTTCACTTTCACACATTTTTTTTTTTTAAGATTTTATTTATTCAGGAGAGAGAGAGAGAGGCAGACACACAGGCAGAGGAAGAAGCAGGCCCCATGCAGGGAGCCCGACGTGGGACTCGATCCCGGGTCTCTAGGATCACTCCCTGGGCCGAAGGCAGGCACCAAACCGCTGAGCCATCCAGGGATCCCTCGCACACTTTTAATAGTTCTGCCCATCATTTAAGTATGCCTTTATCTCATACCTACCATTTTTTATTGGTCCAAAGAGAGACAAAATATGAATAAGTTGGAATTTATGATAAGTAACAGTAGCAGAAATCCGGTTATGGTAGTAATTAAAACTGCCCAAGCAGCAAAATTTATTGATATTGCACTACAGTCTAAATTTAACACAATAGTATTTTTACAGAAAGCCAATATTTGAACAATCAACTGTAAAAAATGTTTTAAAATACAAAAGGAAACCTTCATTCATTTAAATTGTATTATGTAAGATAAAAGGTTTTTAATTTCTAAACTGGTGTTATTTACATCAAAAAGCTTTCAGAAAAAAAATAACTGTCAGAAAAAAATGTTAAGACACAGGACTTTGTTCATTTTCTCAGTGGAGAGTACAGCTGGCATTACTAGTCGACTGTGGAAGTACAATAATTCCGCAAATATTTTAAACTCACTGGAAATTCTTAGTTTACGATAGTCACACTCAATATAAGTGAAAATCAATCCTCATCTTTTGATTAACACTGAGGGAAAGAGACAAAGCTACTGTTTAGCCAGAATGTAATAAATCCAGAAACACAATAAATTCAACTGAGAGGTATCAATTTGTATTAACAAAAAGGTAAACCCCAAGGTATTGTGGGGTTCCTTTTATGCTCTGCTTGACAATTAACCAAAACAAGCACCAGGAACTTCATTACTACCACAGATAGAATTACTCCAATGATTTACTTATATTCTTTTTCCAAACATTAAAATGCCCCTAGAAGGTAAAGTCCTAAAATTCTGTAATAATTAAGGCAAAAATTAAATGTTAAATCATTTCACATAAGACAAAAATGATTACTGGAGAGTTTATAAATCTAGTTATCACATTTACTCTAAAGTCCAGTTTTTTCAACATATTTAGTGAAACCATTTCAATTTTTTTTCTACCAGCTCTTGTAGGTCCCACATAAAATTTAACATGGCACAGCACAAATATCTTCACCTTCTTCAGACTAAAGCCTTCCCCAAGAAAACCGTTTTAAGACCAGACATCTTCCTTGAACATTAACCTAGTCTTTGCAGTGTAAAAGACACTTCAAACCCTTGTTTTGGAAGTAGCAGGGTTAAAAAAAAAAATCAATTCTTAGTCCCTTTCCCATCCAAACTAAATGCATGAAAGACAATCTTATATAAGAGGATTTCACTTAATTCATGAACTATAATTCCATTTGATTAATCATTCTGAAATAACATTGTTTTTTCATTAAAGCCAACAGGTAAAACTTTAAATCTGAATTGTGTCAATTAACAAAGGTGATTTTTATAAGATATTAAGCTAATAAACTTCGAAAACAATCATAAGAAAATATATGTGTATGTATATATATAATATGTGTGTTATATACACAAATATATATATACAAAATAGTTCATGGTTTTATTTTCCTTCCCTATTACTAAAGGAAACATCTGTAAGAAAATGTAAAGTCAGTTAGCTGTCTCCTAACTTTGAAGTGAAATACGAGCAAAAAAGTAAAATTAAAGACAAGTTCTTTGGACACTTCAATTTGAAATTAAAAGGTACTTGTACAGCATCCAAATACAAACTTAAAATGAACAACAAAGACAGCAGTGGCCTAGGACAGTAGTGAAATGCACAAACTCTTGTAGATAGGTCTTTTGTGCTTTTCTATCAGTGCACATTATATACACAGGACAGGAAGAATGCAAGTCCGCTGCTATTCATTCACTGCAAAAAGTATTAACATCTAACCAAACTGCTGAGGAACAGTTACTATGTTACTAAACTGCATTCAACTGAGAACCTCTGCTTTCATTTGCTGCCATCCATAATTGACTCCAAAATATCCCAAATAATAATAGAAGCCAAGATATTTTACAAAGAAGTAGTGAATTTCTTAAAGCTTGAGAAATGACTAATGTAGATTTGTGCCCAAAATGTTTCACACCATAATTTGTAGCTAGAGATTGTTTCAGAACCTCAGTCAATGAATTAAAAGCAGATTACATTAAAATGTTACATTCTACTTCAGAAAGTCCACAACCTAAGACTGTTAACTAAGACCTCTTCAGGACTAAGGCCTGGCAGAACACTGCCCATTTCACCCTAGAACCACAGTTTTCTTTGTTCCCAAACCAATCTGACAGCTACATGCACTGAGACCCAAAACAGTACTTGTTTCCATAGCCTTCCTCGCCACCATGGCCCAAGGGTCAGTGAGATCATCCCTGAAGGGCAAGATATGATCACTGCATATAAATTCCCACAGTGGCAGATTTACCATAAGGATGCAGCACAAACTATTCTTCTACAGAAGGAACAAGATACAAAGGGCAGTTGGGGTAGGGGTGAGGGATTCCATGGCCTCTTCCTGGTCAGTCACACCAAGAAAAAGAATGAAGAAACAACATATCTTCAAATGGCATTCAACAGACAGAAGCTGATAACCAAAATAACATCCAAATCCCTGCAATAGCTCTCCCACCAAAAAAAGCAGCACATAGAGATGTTTAGGCCCTTATTCTTCCATTGAACTAAATAAAGGACTAAAGTCTACTCAAGAGGAGGGTCCATGTGGGACAAAGTTACAAATCAAGGCAACTGATTTCTGCATCCAATCCTTTACCCACAAGCCCCCTTAGCCAATACTACACAGAGCTAAATGCAAGCACTTTGTCATGGTTGATTCTTCACAATCTGAAGATTGTGCTTTCAAGCTGCAACCACGGCTAGACCATTCCCTCTGCTAACCAAAGAAGACACAAGACAAATCTCTTTACTAGTGATTTCATTAATCTGGGAATTCAGATTAAAGATTCAATTATAAAAATTCCTCAAAATAAAACATCCATACTTTACCATAGTTTTTTATTTACATTTCTTTGTACATTAAAGTCTGAGCAACTAAGCTGGTGGAAGCCAGCCCCTTCAAGTCCATTCCCATGCGTGAGAGGTAGCTTTATTTTTTCCCCCTAGTTTTATATTACTGTTTGAATAGTAAATGCTGTTTGTCACGAGAACTAGATGGAAAGGAATGGATCACCATTCAGGATGGACAAATGTATAGCTACCACATTAAGTGGCTATGTCACGCACCTGACCATGGCTGGCTGTGCTCTGAGCTACATTCCAGTAAGAAAGCAGAGCACCTCAGTGTGGCTGGAATTATAAATTATAAATTTATCAGCACAGGAAGGACCAGACTCCCAAACATCAATCTTTAAAGTGAGAAAAATTACTTTAGACTTACTGGATTGCTTGGCAACCATAAAAAAAAAAAAAAAAAAAAAAAAAAAAAACAAACAGTAACTTTATCCAGAGCTAGAAAATGCCTGGTAATGGCCATATATATTAGACACTGCTTGGTCTAGACAGTGATCACATTTCTAGCCTAATACTACAGACAAACACTCAAGAACTGGTTTGCCTTCTAAAATTTCTTCCTTATACTCTCTCTGCCCAGTAACTATAGCTATCTCCTCCCTCCAGGGCACTTTTGTTCTATAATAATAACCTATCCTATATATGAAACTGAAATCCAGAACTTTATTTTGAAAGCATGGGACAGAGCCTTTAATGCCTATTTGCAATCTGCCATCTTTAGGACACACAAATATAAACTTCAAGAGCAACAACTCTAGGCAGAAAAAAGAGGCTGAGAAAGCTCATCACAATCTCATTTTTAGAGTTTTCAGCAACTATACAAATGCACTTTAAAGTCTTAGGACAGAATATAAGGTGAGTAGCTAGGCTTTACCAAGCAGTCAGAAATAAGGTTTAACAAAACTGCTGTTTTACTAACACCTGTTTACCCAGAGACAGATACTTAAAGGTATAGGATATATTGATACCTTAGGGCAAAATAAGACTTGTTTTATCATTAATATAAAATCACAACAATACACATGAGCCCTTCCTTGGGCCAGAATATAATCTGAATCAAAATCACTTAAGTGACACTAAGTGACATTTTTCTTCAATCATAAAAATATTAACGAATCTGAACTTGTAACTATGATTAATATGCAAAGAAAACACTGCTCAGGGAATACAGAGACACGATAGATGTCAATCAAAACAAAATCTCTGAGCAGGCAGAGGGAGGTACTACTACAAAAATAAAAAGCCAAGAGATATTATCATAGTAAGAAAACTTGGCAAATGGTCTAATTTTTATACTGACTTTGCTCTTCACTGTTCAAACTAACTGATGGGGGACGGGGGGAATTAGGTAATGAAATGTTTTTAATGCATACATGTACTCGGACCTGAACTTTTCTAAAGACCACCATAATATGTTGAGCTTTATAATAAAATTTAAATTTAATCCCTGTGGATGTCATTCATTTAGATTTGCGTTTTTTATTTGATATTATATGCAAACTACTAAAGCCTTAAAAGACAAAGTACCAGCCCAATCTTACAGCATAAAGTTATTTTTGCTATATTCTGTTGTACATCTTCATTATCTGCACTATTGATATTTAATAGAAAAATAAGGATATCCAAAGCTCAAAGCAGCAAGCAGTGACCACAAATCCCTTGACAGCATTGATTTGCTTTTATATATTAACATGAAAATTCAACTTAAGTTTCAAATTTCTTCAAATTTCACCCATGCTAAGGGGTTCTATTCGGTTTACATCTCAGGAAGAGTGTCGTCACTGGTTGAAATCCGAAAACCATTCATTTGCTATTTCTTAACAAAAACTTTGTGAAAGCATGTAAACTATACACCTATCTTTTGGATAACAATCGTTAAGTACAAAAACATTCATTTAACATCTTACAAATCATTACAGTTATACATAAAAGCACCTACAAAATTTAAAAAAGTAAAAGATTCACAGTGAACCTTGGAACATAACATTTAAAAAGTGGATTCAAAGACCTATTTTTCTCTCAAAGACATAAAACACACAATGAAGCCAACACAACTACTCTTCTCATCTAGCTTCTTAAAATGCAGCACACAGAAGTAAATTATTGCATATTCAGCACACTCCTTTATCACTCAATTTCTTCACACCATGCTAAAATTTCTCAAAGGAAAAATCCAGTTCTGTGCTAAGCATGGCCTTTCTCAAGGTAACCTGAACACTGAGAAACTATTACACAGGTTCAAGGGAATAAGTATAGCAGATGTACATAAAACAGGTACATCCAACTGATACATTTTCTGCATAGTTAAGTCACATCACACACATAAACTTTAACTCACGTCTTTATCTCAAATTGTCAAGAGAGCTAAAAGCCTCAAGTTACCAAAATCCCATTCCAACAATACCCTCATTTTGTTCCACAGTGCGTTAAATGAAGCAGCACAACAGCAATAACATTTAACCATAGTTAAACTGCTGTAATTGAAAAGGTAAAATTTGTTGGTTCTTGAAAAGGCTCAACACCTTTAGAGGACATACTTCTGGTAACTAAATTCTAATCTCTTTTGCTTTAGTATTAAGAGCTGAAAAACCCAACTCTAGGCACCAGAAAGACTGACCAAAATACTCAAAAAACAAAAACAAAACACACACACACACACAATCACCAAAAATTATATGGTTTCCAGATGGCAGTAAACGAGTGAAAATGATTTACCTGCTAGGCAAACTAAGTTTTCACTCCCTTAACAATTTAATAAAAATCTGGAATGCTGGGACCAACTATAAATATGGCTCAAGGAGACCCAAGCAAAGCAGCTGTATTTCTGGAAAGAACAGTTAAAAGCTTCCAAAAGCAATCAGATAATGCATTTTTAAAAAGGTCACAGAAGGATTCACAAGTTTGTCACATTAAAAGATGCAGGATTATGAATAACCTAATTTTAAACATACTGCTGTAATTGTGAATTCTCCTGCTTAGCACCAAGAGGGTGACACTTATTAATAAATAGAATTTTTCCTTTAAAATCAAGCCATTTAAAAGCTAAAGCAAAGAAATACAAGTGAATTCCTTACAATAGTACTTCTTCTCAAAGTCCCACTGGGTTAAATAGAACCCCTATTAAATAGCCTATCTATACAGAATAAAGATTTCTACAATAAAATTTACAAGCAGAAATATATTTTGTGGATACCACATGTAAAAAAAGATTTTTAAAACACACATGGCCGATGCACACGCACACATATGCTCACACATCACCCCCCAAAAGAAATACCTTCAATGAGGTCAGAAGCAGCCTGAACACGAAAGCCCCCTTAGAGCCCTGGTGATTGTCCTCAAGTAGAGCAAATGGGCACTGCCATCTTTACCTAGATTTAAGAATCCTGAAGAAGCAAAATACAGTCCTAGAAGTGAGTTATGTATGTTACCTTCATGTTCTGATCATCTCCTAGTGAAATGCTTTATTTGTACTTGGGTGAAGTGTACACCCCATCCCTTCTCACTCCATCATCCTGGGGCTTCAGCATGCTCATAAAAGCATGTCAGCTTCTGCTACTATTGCAAACTGGAACCTAATACAACATTAGTTTCCAGAGATCAACAGAGAGATGCAATGTAAAGCCTAATAATGTCAGTACTCCATTCATATTTACACATCAATAATAGAGAATCAATCTTCACAGGAACAAAGCCATTGTATAATACTAAAGGGCTGGCAGCAGGATGGTGAAGACCAGACCAAAGCAGTTGCCCGGTCCCTGCCTGCATGCTCCATGCTCCCCACTCCCTAGCAGTCTCACAGAGTTGCTGACTGCACAAGGCTCTCAACTCCACATCAGAGCATCCACTTCTCACCCAACCAACTCAGTCCTTCTACAGGCTGAGGATTTTGTCCTTCAATGAAGTGCTGTGTTCATTTTCAACATGAACATTACACAGTAGATGCTGGCTTTAACTAAAACCTTTCAACAAATCTCCCAGCAGAGGAGGAATAGGGAACCTAAGTGGTTAGAAGCAGAGAAATGTGCAAAAATGCCACCAAAGCAGATGACCTGCAATTTTGACTTCTGTGACATTTTTAGCTCTTGCATTCATTTAATATTTGTGAATTTTAAGTTTCTTTTAAAAATGTCAATATAAGGAAACTCTTATTGCAATCACTGTCATGGATAGATGGAGCATTCCCATTAACTTGGTTACTTGATGATGACTCAAACACTATTTTCTTGACCAGAACATAAAATAAAAACCACAATCACACAGAAAAAAAAAAAAAATGCTCTCATAAAAAGCAACTTAAATTCATTAGCCAAAGACTGAAAAGATATATCTGTATATAAGGTTATAACTGCATTTACAGTGCAAACTCATGTTTCTTTTTACTCTCTCTTCTGCACAGAGAACATTTATCTTGAGAAACATCGTTGCTTCCCTGCATTTCTTTAAAACACCTGAGAAAGGTAAGGCTCAAAGAGACACCTACTCAAATGCAACAGGTCTCTGATCGTGGGACTTCCACAATACATCTGCTGCTATCAAAGATCCAAGATTTTCATTATAGCATTATGGTCAAACTTAAAACTCAAAAAGGCTCTGGATGAAAAGGGGAACTTGCAATGACCATTACATGCCACAGACTGTCCCTCGGCATGTTCTAGCAACTGGTCTTCACCGGAGCAAGGCAAGTCATATACAGCATCTGTTTAAATAAATAAACAAACTCAGTAACTTAATGGGAACTCAAATGCTGCCCTTCTCACCTTTTGTTATAAAGGAATTCACATACCATACATATTTTTCCTCACCACACTCTAAATCTAACTTAAGTAGAACCACCAAGATACTTTCCTTTCCCTAAATTGGGGCTTAACTGACTTTCTAATCTATGATTATTGATTTCCACACATTCATTCCAAATCTTAATCTCTGCCTTTAAACCCTTAGTATTCACATGCTTTAAAAAATGGCCATACTTTTGTCTACCTCTCATTTTTGTTTTCTACCATCAAACAGAACTTAACACAAGGATCAAAATGTAAGCACTGTAAAGATTACAACTGTAATCTAAGATTTATAAAGAGTCCAAGTCTAGAAAAATAAAGGTGGAGCTGGCCAAATCATCGGGGAATATATTTACCTAAAGAAAAATCCAAATTTTAAAAATCATGGTCCAACAAAACTCTCAATTTATCAGGATTTTGTTTTGTTTTGTTTTAAAGGTAGAGCAGAGACCTGACCAGGGAAGTGGATTGGGAATAGACATCAGGAGGCTGAGGCACAAAGAAAATCTCAAATCAGGTTTCTCAGGACAAAAATTCTTTCACATTTCTTTTATAAGACAAATTGTGTATGTCCATATTAAGCTGGGTATATTAAGTTAGAGTATACTTTATTTTAGTACCTTCTTCCTGGACACATGGCTTTTAAAGATTTTGTAAAATAACTAATTTCTGAGCTTACATTAATTAACCTATTAGGCTATCATGTCCCCATCAGCCAACGTGGTCAGAAAAATCTTATTAAGGGGACTCCTCGCACATACTTTGTGTATACCAAACTACATGACTTCATAATTAACCTTAATTTTTCAAAATAGAATAAAAGCATCTTTTAAAATAGTGTTTTTCCTGCTTAAATCATAAACAGTACTGCAAGAAAATATGATCATAATTCTTCTTATTTCTTAGACTTTTCTATATAAAAGCCTTACATTTAAATAGTGAATAAATGCATTATCTACTGCACAGGGATTTCACACAATTCAAAACAACATGTAATAAAAAAAGTCTACTGTAGTTTCAGATGATGTCTATTAAATCAGTATTACCAAAGAACTTTCTACATTCATCACCATTACTTTCCAAATTAGCCCACATACCTACTCTTTATAACTGAGGATAGGGAAGCTCCAGATGTCATCCATAGTACCTCCTTAAAAAGTTGCTCATTACCTCCTAAAAGTAAGAAATGTTGCCCTTCTGAAGTCAATGCTCCTCTTACATATATGTGAGAATGAGGTCTCCTCATGTTTATGCTATTTGGTTCTACTCCCCTCACTAATACCTATTAATTTACAATGTTCACGCACAGCACCCAGGTTTGACATTCACCCGCAAAAATAGCACACTGAAAGGGAAGATCATTTCATCCTGATGATTTAAGTTCATTTTAGCGAGTTTCATATTTAGAGAATATGATCACATATATGAACTCTCTACAAAACATGTGCAACTCTTTCTGCTTATCTATCACAATCCATTACCCTCTCAACTAAAATCAAGGTTAGACCAAAACCAAATCAAATCCCCCAGAGATTTTAAAAAGAAAATGACTTGCCTGTTTCAAAATTATCCTGAAGTTTTCGTGGATGAAGTTTTTTTTCACATTTCTATTAAAAGAACACAAACACACACACACACACACATACAAAATACACCATCTGTAGTTATTCTACATAAATGAGGAGATATGTTAGCAAATTTCTCAGGAAGAAAATTAAACCAGGAATATAATCACCATCCCAGTCTTACACTGGTATTTTTTTTTATTTTACACCTAAAACTTTTTTTAGTTCTTGATTACATGTACAATATAGAAACACCAGAAAAAAAAATTACTCATTAAATTTTTCAACCCAGAGATAATTATTAACATTTTAGTGCATCTCTCTAGCTTTTTCTTTATGAAGATACTGTGAATTTTCATACAATTACTAAAAATTTAGTGGAATTATTAGGTACATAGGACTATTCTATATCTTACTTTTTTCCCCCCTAAGGATGTATTATTTATCTTAGAGAGAGAAGGCATAAACATGGGTGAGCAGGGGAAGGGATAGTGGGAGGGGAACTCCCCACTAAGTGTGAGCCCAAAATGGGGCCAGATCACGCGGGGGCTCAATCCCACGATCCGGAGAGCATGGCCTGAGCTGAAATCAAGAGTTGGATGCCTTAAATGAATGAGCCACCCAGGCGCCCCAAACTACTTTTTAAATGTAATATACTGTGAATATATTATTTTCAATAAATATAAATCTACACCATCATTTTTAATGACTACACGGTAGCCCACTGAATATATGATACAGCATTTGAAATTATACTCTTGGATATGCATATTGTTTCCATGTTTTCATTATTCAAAAGAGTACTGGGATGAACATTCTTGAAAATTTTCTTCTAGGGAAACAATTTAAGAAACTTTTCAGGCTTTCCATATAGTCAAGCTACTCTCTAAAAGGTAGTACCAATTAGTTATTTTTAAGTATTGTCAATACACTCAATAATATACAAGTGGGGGATCCCTGGGTGGCGCATCGGTTTAGCGCCTGCCTTTGGCCCAGGGCGCGATCCTGGAGACCCGGGATCGAATCCCATGTCGGGCTCCCAGTGCATGGAGACTGCTTCTCCCTCTGCCTGTGTCTCTGCCTCTCTCTCTCTCTCTGTGTGACTATCATAAATAAATAAAAATTAAAATAATAATAATAATAATAATAATAATAATAAACGTGGCTCTCTTTTTATCTGTGCCAATCTGACAAAAAAAAAGTTTAACATTAAAAGGCAAGTAATCTAAGAGTAAATTGATCTTTAACATGTGTTTTAAAAAAACAAACGTATTTGCCCTTGGAATCAATACACCCAAGTAAACAGCAAATAGAAACTCAGGTAAAAATTTTTGATAAAACTTTGAAAACTACTATTATCACCCATTGTTAAAAAAAGAAAACTAGGACTTCCAGAAAAGACAAACAAGGAGACCCATTAATTATGAACTGCAACTTTCTGGACCACAGACTAAGCGTGAAAGTAAATGTCCTAAAATGCTCACAGTTATCTGTCTGCAGGCCCAGTCTAAGGGCTATGGCACTGACTTTATTTTAATTTTCTAAATTCTATCACCTTTCTTTATAATTATTTTATTCTATCATTTTGGAACATTGACCTCTGCCAAAATTTTTCATATGCCTGTTATTGTCTGAAACCTACTGCCATCTCTACAGTCCCCAGATCTCTAAAACTCTTTATATTTACCTCGTTTATAAATTCTATCAACTTGAAGAGAAAAAAAATACACTTGTGATGTTCTCCCCAACTTTAGCTTTATTAAAACAATACAGACTCAATTTAGAAAAACAAAGAAAAATAGCCAAGGACTTCCTCTTTCTAGAAAACAGGGTTGACTACACACTGTTTTCACAGTACTAAAAAATATTTAAATACCGACATAAAATAGCAAAAAATCAGATGTGTAATTCAATGTGACAAACCTGTAACAGGGCAGCCAGAGATTTTAAGTAAGCAAATAATGCACAGTTTCACTGCATAAATATCTTATCAATGTATCAATTCAATGTGCTTTTTGGACAATGCCTTGCCCCACTCCTAAAACGGATAAACTGCCTTCTTAGTTTTATAGATGTAAGTCTTACCATTAAGGGATTCTGCTGCTTGGCTGGCTGACTGTGGATCCCATTTGTTCTTTTCTTCTGATTAGGTGAGTCCTGATACTGTTTTTTGCCATTTCCCCTCATACTTTGATTCTGTTTTTCCAAAGAGAAGAAATAAAATATTAGCCTACAGTATAATTTAACAGGACCAAAGAATATACTGCCAAGAATATGTTTAACTGGTTGAATGAGAGTTTAGCAAAGTCCCTCCCAAAATTTTCCTAGAATATTGGAGAACCACATGGAACACCTGAGTGGCTCAGTGGCTGAGGATCTGTCTTCAACTCAGGGCGTGATCCTGGAGTCCTGGGATCGAGTCCCAAATTGGACTCCCCGCAGGGAGCCTGCTCCTCTCTCTACCTATGTATCTGCCTCTCTCTCTCTCTCTCTCTCTCTCTCTCTCTCATCAATAAATAAAATCCTAAAAAAAAAAAATTGGGGAACCACGTATCAGTATTTTCTTACAGAAGACAGTGCTTCACAAAACAAGATTCCTCTAAAGGTACACAACAGTAAATACAGTGGTCCCTAGGAATCTTGCCTTATCCCATTTCTGCTTACAGACTTTGTTTACAATGCACAAGTTAAAAAAAATGGGAGAAGGAGAGATAAACAAGTTTGAAAACCTTATGCGACCATCATAAACAACCTCTGAGGTGGAATGCGAAGGCACCTGGCCATTTTTTAAAACAAGAAATATGCAGCAGATAGTTATCAACTGTTATCCTAAAATCTGCTTTAAATTTATAATAAACAAGTATTTTTAAATTAATAACCTTTTATACAAAATAAAGATTGGTATTTTATTTATTTTTTTTATTTTTATTTTTTTTAAGATTGGTATTTTAAAAACTTAGGCCATTATCCCTAAAGTTAGATCTAAAGCCTAAACATGCAGTAGTTGACATTTTGTAATTGTATGATTTAACATAAGTTAATTTTCTTATCATTTCCCCCCAAAATCTAGGTTTAATTTAAAAAATAAAGTTTTTAAACATTACTTTGTCCCTAATGATCTTAAAGGGACAGTTAGTTAAGAGGACTAAAACAACATAAATAATTATTATTTTGTACTTTTAAGAATATCAAAATGCATTTGTTTATACTCTACCTACAGAAAAAGCTAAGCAGTTCCTAAAATAGGGCAGCCAGAGTGGCTCAGTGGTTTAGTGCCACCTTCAGTCCAGAGCGTAATTCTGGAGACCCGGGATCGAGTCCCACGTCAGGCTCCCTGCATGGAGCCTGCTCCTCCCTCTGCCTGTGTCTCTGCCTTTCTCTCTCTGTCTCTCATGAATAAATAAAATCTTAAAAAAAAAAAAAAAAAAAAAAAAAAAAACCTGTCCTGGTGTCTATTCACCTTTAAAAAAAAAAAAAAAAAAAAGCAGTTCCTAAAATAGCCTGAAAACGAAACACTTTTTTTTTTTAAGTTTTTATTTCAATGTGGGGCTCGGACTCAAGTCCAGAGATCAGGAGTTGCACTCTTCTAACTGAGCCTGCCAGGCACCCCAACAATAAGCTAACTTAAATAATTGGTTAGGAACAGAAAACAAACTGATGGTTGCCCGAGGGGAAAATGGGCAAAATGGATGAAGGAGAGTGGGAGATAGAGGCTTCTAGTTATGGAATAAGTCACAAGAATAAAAGGCACAGCCGTAGGGAATATAGTCAATCACATTGTAATAGCGTTATATGGTGGTTGTATGGTGCCATACAAGTGGAACAAGTGGAACTACACTTGTGGTGAGCACAGCATAACATATAGAGATGGTGAATCACTATGATGTACACCTGAAACTAATGTAACATTGTAAAATAGACTTCAATTAAAAAAAATTTAAATAATAAAGAAATAGGTTTACAGAAATGCATGTTATCACATACTTCTAATTCAGTTTCATTCATTCTGCTCTTCTTGGTATTTTTTTAGTATGGTACAATAAATATAGTTTACTATCATAACTTTTAAACATACAAGTCAGTGGCAGTAAGTATTGTCACAATGTTGTACAGCCACCACCAGTATCCATCTCCAGAATGTTTTTCATCAAACCAAACAGGAACTTTATGCCCATTAAATAACTCTGTATTCCCTGTCCCTCAACTTTAGTAATCTCAAGTTAATTTGTCTCTAAATTTGTCTATTAGGTACCAAATATAATTTGTCCATCATGTATGACTTATTTCACGTAGCATGTGTCCAAGGTTCAAAGACCATATAACAGCCATGTTTGTATCACAATTTCATTCCTTTTTATGACTAATAAAACTCTGTATGTATATTTTGTTCATCCACTAATCTGTTGACAGACATATAGGCTGTTTCCACCTTTTGGCTATTGTGAATAATGCCACTATGAACACTGGTATACAAGTTATCTGGTTGAGTCCTTATTTTCAATTTTGTGAGGTATATAACCCAGGAAATAAAATTGCCAGATCATATGATAATTCTGAATTTAACTTTTTTAGGAAACACCAACCTATTTTCCATGGCAGCTGTACCATTTACATGCCCATCAAAAATGCATAGGGATTCTAATTTCTCCACATTATTGTCAACACCTGAGACTTTCCTTTTTTCTTTTTAATTACAGCTTTCCTAGTGGATATGAAGCAGTATCTCAGTGTGGTTTTGATTTGTGTTTCTCTAATGACTAAAGATGTTGAGATTTTTTTGTGTGTTTATTGGCCACTGAATATCTTCTTTGGGGAAATGTCTATTCAAGTTGTTTGCTCATTTTTTTAATTGGGTTTTTGTTCACAAATTTGCTTGCCATCCTTGTGTAGGGGCCATGCTAATCTTCTCTATATCATTCGAATTTTAGTCTACGTGCTGCTGAAAAAAGGACTAATTGCGGTTTTTTGTTGAATTAGAGGAATTCTGGATATTAATCTCACATTTGATATGTGATTTCCAAATATATTCTCTCATTCTATGGGTTATCTTCTCACTCTTTAAGAATGCTCTCTGATGCACAAAAGTTTGTAATTTTGATGAAACCAGTATATTTTTTAAAAGAATTAAAACAAGAGTGGCACCCAAATGGATGGCTAAAATGATAAAGACAATGCCAAGAATTAGTAAGAATGTGGAATAAATGGAGCTCTCGTATTTTTTGTTGGGGATAACTTGAGAACATTGTTTGCAGCATATACTGAAGAACACAGCATATCCACTGATCCAAAAAATCCTATACACAAAACAATGGTGTATGCTCATCAAAATACATACAGAAATATCCATAGGAGAACTGTTTGTAAAAAGCTCAAAACTGGAAACAATTGAAATGTCCATTAAAAGTAGAATGAAGTGTGGCATAATCACACACTAGATTACAACACAATAATAAACCTTTCACTGATGGCATATATACCAAAGTCAGATGCTAATTTTTATTTCTTACTACACTGGATTTATACCAAAACTGTAAAGGTTAAGGTTAAGAAGTCTTAATTAACCACGCTTCAAATCACAAGTTTGGAACACAGAAATCTTTGATCAACAATTCAGAGCTCTGTAACTGTTAGTCTGCAATTCCTCAATTCAGATATATTTCTAAGTCAAATCTAAAGTTATGAAAATCTTTAAATGTATTATCACTCACCTTTGCTTTTAAAATGTCAGACATTTCAGAATGATTATTATATGGCTTTTGTTGCAGTGGCTGCCTGTACTTTACCCACTGGTCACCAGGAGAACCTTCAGGAAATAACTGCTGACTGTGGCGGAATTTGGTTCGACTATACCAAGATTTAAAAAATAAAAATCAGATCACAAAATTTTCACTTAAACTTCTTCTAACACTTTGATAGTTTATCTTATAGATCACAAACTTTACTTTCTTATTTAATCTCTATCTCTCCGCAGTAGACTACAAGTTCCATAAGAGTTGGGATTCTTACCTGCTTTATCCCCAGCACCCAGAAGAGTGCCTGGTGTTCACTATTTCTTGAATGGATTAAGTGTTATTTTTAACCCCAAACTTTTCTAAGTTATCCATATTACCCCCTCCCTATTAGTAATTATACCTTTAAAAATCAGAAGGAAATAATTCTAAATTGATTTGAAACAAACACATGTGGCTATTCCTTCTTACTAGGAGAGACAACGCATTCTCGCCAAGATGTTTAAAATACAGAATTTGATCCTGCACACGTTGGTTATGGATCTCTTCCATTCTAGAGGAAGATCTGAAAATTTAAGCTATATTCTAAAGCAAAAAATTAAGGGGCCCAAGAAAATAGACGAGCAAATTTTAAAAAGTCTGGTCTCAAATTCTTATGTGAAAGATTTTGATTGTAAATGGTTGTACTCACATAGTACAATAAAGTTTGTAATAAAGAACATTTTATAGTACTACTTACATTTATAATACAGTCCAGAGTCATTGATCCAGAGAACTGTACTACAGTGATTATTTCAGAGTTCTCCTTTCCCATTTAAAAATTATAATAAAATTGCAGCATGCCTATTTTCTTGAGACAAAATTCAGGTATTTCCTCCAACATATCACAGACATTAGTCTGTATGCTAAAAACACCATCCTGCCTAAGAAACCTGAAATTTGGTTAAAATTGCTTCATTACATCCTAACTCCTCTCTCCAGGACTACAAAGCCTAGGACTAAAAGATATGGACATCATATAGCACACTATGGTGGACAAAGCCTCCCAAACATGAAAAGTCAAGACAATTTTTTTTTCCTAAACACTATCACTATTTCATAATGTTTTAGTAGTTACGGTTCTTTTTAATCTTAGCTACACTCCTATTTACTTTTCCTATACTGTTTTGTTTATGTCTAGTAGTGTATAATTTGATGATTATAATTACAGGTTCCAAAAGGTGGAAATAACCCTCGAGGCATTTAGTCCAAGCTCCTGTCCTCATAAAACCCAATTAGGATGGAATATTCCCGACGTATTTTAAAAACATACTGATTGTAGATATTGTTTGTTCCCGTTTAATTTTTGAAGCCCTCAGATATAATCAGAACATCTATATTAAAGTAAATGTAAAATGCAACTCCCTCTGAGCCTAACATATACAAAGTTCTACCAAGCTTATTACAAATATATATGCTTATAAACAAAATTACTCAGCCTACTCTATAATTGTGATTTGGATATAATTAAGTTCCAACCAAGAAAATGTTCTTTGTGGTTACTGTCCATGTAACAGTCATTTTTTACAGTACAATCAACAAGTCTTTGTTAGGGAAAGAAAAGAAGCAAGCCCAAGTCTTCATAGTTCTATCTTTCTGAACAAATTATACATTAGCATTCCTCATCTACCCTACACAAAAACAGACCTCAATATATCCTCCACTCAAGGATCTTCGGAGACTCAACTGTCCCTAAAGCAGGATATGAGAACAGAACAGTAGCAACATGCACAGAGGCAGATTTTTTTCTTTTCCTCATGTTCTTTCAACCCATCTAAAAAGTTGGTACCCTCTTGTGTATACTATTTTAAAAATGTGCCTGAAGCTCCTTTCCAATTTCAATTAACCTTTTCATCTCATCAAAAACCCTTAAAAAAAATTTTCTAGGGATCCCTGGGTGGCGTAGCGGTTTGGCGCCTGCCTTTGGCCCAGGGCACGATCCTGGAGACCCGGGATCGAATCCCACGTGGGGCTCCCGGTGCATGGAGCCTGCTTCTCCCTCTGCCTGTGTCTCTGCCTCTCTCTCTCTCTCACTGTGTGCCTATCATAAATTAAAAAAAAAAAAAAACTTCTTAAAAAAAAAAAAATTTTCTATTATCTTAAGACCAGTAACAAAATAATTCCAAAAAGGAATCTAACGCCTCTCTAAACTTTAGAGGCAAAATGCTACTACTGCATTAAAAACTATCAGAAAGTAGGAATCCTATGAATATATTTCTTTACCTCAATTTTTCCACAGTGGGTTTAGCTGGTGTACTACCAACTGAGGAAAATCCATTGTCACTGTCTGAGGAATCTCCAAATCTCCGCGAAAGCCAGTCCCTTAAAGGCCTATGGAAACATTAAGAATTCGCTCTTAAAACTTGGCTACATAAAAAAAAAAACTATCAGAATTATGAAGGTTAGTTTTGTATTTTAAGAAATAGGATCATACCTGATAAAGGGAATGGCCATAAAAAATTTGTTAGGTGCCAAACCAAGTTTGGATTTTGGGGTCATATCATTTCTATGACAGGGCAATTTCTCAATGGAGAACCACTCAATGTTCTGAGACACAAGAAAATAATTCATTTAGTTAATTATCATCAAGGAGTTTCTAAAAGCAATCTCCTACTTCACTAAATTGGGATACTATCCAGCAATCTGAAAATACTTTCAATTACATACCCGAATTTCTCTTCTGGTTTTCGGGTTAAATTTTGTGTCTTTTGGAATTCCTGGAATGATGTACAAACGAGCAAGCTGGTCATTGATTCGAAGTTCAATGTAATCATCCTTACAAATATAATCTTTGATATCAAAACCAGTTTCTTCAAAGACCTGGAAATTTGACACATTTGGATGATGATTTTCATTTGTTGCTGTTAGCTCTCCAGTACATTAAATTTATTTCAAAGCAAAAACTCAGAAATATCCAGGCAATTAAAGGCATGAAAACATTGGGCAAGAAATCAGAATATTCTAGGACCTAGTTCTTAGCTCTGAACTGTTCAACTATAGATAAACCCTTTTATGTATCTAAGCCTAAATTCTTCACCTATTCAATGAAGGAAGATGTGGGACACTGTGATTTACAAAAAGAATACATATTATTTAATTTTCATCCCCTTTCTGGTACAAAGCTCCTAAAACCTTTGGAATTTCCTAATGGATGAAAGCAACCAAGGTATTCTTTTGTTGCATTACTGAGGTGACTTTTGGACCCCACCTAAATATGGGTGGCTGACTGCCAGGACAACCAACCAAGGGAATAGAAGATTAGAACTTTCAGTCCACCCTTAACGCCTACCCCGCCCTCCCATCTTCCACAAAGGGGGAAAAGGCTGGAGATTGAGCTCAATGGTCAACACCCAATGATTCAACCAACCCTGCCTAACATAAAGCAGGCTCCATAAAAACCCAAGGGCGGGGGACAGACACACAACGTCCAGGTGGGTGAATGCAGAAATTGTGGAAGAGTAGTACACTAGGAGACAACAAAGAAGTTTCACACCCTTTCCCCATATCATGCCCTCTGCAGCTTTTCCATCTGGGTGTTCTTGAGTTATAGATCCTCTTTTTTTATTATTATTTTTTTTAAGATTTTATTTATTTATTCATGAGAGACACACAGAGAGAGAGAGGCAGAGACACAGGCAGAGGGAGAAGCAGGCTTCACGCAGAGAACCGGACGTGGGACTTGATCCCGGGTCTCCAGGATCACACCCTGGGCTGAAGGTGGTGCTAAACTGCTGAGCCACCCGGGCTGCCCCATAGATCCTTTTAAATACACCTGCGATCAAGTATGTAAAATGTTTCTCTCAGTTCTGAGAACCACTCTAGTGAATTAATCAAACCCAAAAAGAAGAGGTCTTTGGAATCTAGGTTAGAAGCACAGATGACAGCCTGGACTTGCAATGTCATCTGAAATAAATGGCAGTCTTGTAGGTCTGAGAGCCCTTAACCTGTGGAATCTGATGCCATTTCCAGGTAGAGTCAGAATTGAGTTGAATTGTAGGACACCCATCCAATGTCTGACAATTGCTTGCTGGTCTGAGGAATGCCACTCCCCTTCCAACACACACATACATTGTAATTGATTCTGGAACTCTTACAATGTTAGAATACAGCAGCAGTTCCCAGTCTGTGCAGAGTACACCACTGGGACCACATATGGATATTATTCACGGCCATCTACAAATCTACGTGTAAACCAAGCTACACACTAAAAATTATCTTATGCAAATAAAACTGTTTCTCAAACATGAAAACTGACTGTGATTAATGCTAACATTTAAACGGACAGATTCCAAAAGTACAGATACAACCCCCTGGGTCGCAGGGAGGTGAATGGAAAAGAACTGAAAACTAGTAAAACAGACTCATGGGTTCTAAAATGGCCTTCCCTCAGCAGTGCCCCAGGGTCAGAGGAGGAACTGGGAGAACATAAATTCCAAGAACTGATGTTACATCTCATCTTTACCTCTTCCCTCAACCAGAGAAACCACTCTGATTAACATACTGGGCTTCTGTATAAAAAGCCCAGGCTTTTTACAGGCTGTATAAAGGCTTCTGCATAAAATAAAAAACCACTGGTCTCTTCTGGCCTTAAAGTTCTCCCTCAAATAACATTTGTATTATTCTGACAAAGCTCTTCTCCACTTCTTCCCCACTTCATCCCCACCAATCAAAAAGGGTTTGAATGCTCAGTAGCTAGAACCCACTGTGGATCTTTTATCCTGCAGTTGCTCTCCTTTCCTCTGGTTTCAGCACCTCCTAACCAACCAGTGGGACAGAAGATGTTAAAACACACGGACAGGCCTGAATCTCTTGATATAGGTGTGAAGGAACTATTTCTACTCATTTGTCGCTTCCCTCTTTGTCAGCTCATATACCTTTTTCCACATTCCTCAAAAAAGGCACAGGTATCCTTCTCTCAGACATGTATAGTCTAGGACTTTCAACTTAAGCTCCTCCACAACACCCAACTCATTTCTGTCACCATTTCTATAAATTCCTAAGTATGCTAAACCTCCTGTTCCTCATTAAAACAACAACAATACCAAAACTAGGTGAATATACTCACTTGAAAAATGTTCTTGGTATATAGAAAAGGAGAAACATTAGTTGTATTTCCTCCTTCTGGAAATGTCAGACTGGGTACCTAAGTACATATGTGATACTGAAAAAAGGAGTTCTCTAGTTCTGTTTCTTTATATCTAACATCTGGTATTGTAGGAAAACACAGAAACAATCTATTAAATGTGATCAATGACATTCAAACACAGCAAAACTGTGTATCTTTCCCAGAATAAGATTCTGAAGCTCAGTGACAGATGTCATGGTTTCACATCTCTCCAAATCTTAATATTTATATACACAAGACAATATAATTAAAATCATCAATCATGTGGATTTATTTCACAATGCATATATGCTATCTGATGTTCCCATTAAAGCAAAATCCAGATGCTTCGGTTTTCCTTTTACTTAAAACAAAGGTCTACTCTACTGCTTGAGACAGAGCTTAAAAATATTTTTGATTAAAAATCAACTTTGATGGATATTAGATTTATAGGTGTAACAATTAAGACGGGCACTTAAAAAAAAAGACTGGAAAACCAAATGTTTGCACATCAATGATACATGAAACTGGTGGTCTTTTTTTTTTTTTTTTGAAACCTGTCTTCTTCATCAAAGGGAAGACTTCAACCAGAAGACATTCACAATACAATCTAAAATATATGAGAAAGTCCTATGTATCAACAAGTAACCAGGGCAGCCGGGTGACTTAGTTGTTCCAGCATCTTTCTGCTCAGGTCATGATCCTGGAGCCCCACATCAGACTACCTGCCCAACAGGATGTCTGCTTCTCCCTCTGCCCTCACGCCATTCATGCTTGCGCATGTTCTCTCTCTCAAATGAATAAAAATCTTTATAAAAATAAAATAAGTAACCCAACTTTTATTTTTTTTTAAATTTATTTATTTATGATAGTCACAGAGAGAGAGAGAGAGAGGCAGAGACACAGGCAGAGGGAGAAGCAGGCTCCATGCACCGGGAGCCCGATATGGGATTCAATCCCGGGTCTCCAGGATCGCGCCCTGGGCCAAAGGCAGGCGCCAAACCGCTGCGCCACCCAGGGATCCCCGTAACCCAACTTTTAAAAAGCAGATAACATATAAGTGGGTACTTAATAAAGAAGACATTTAAATGGGCAATAAGAACATGACAATGTGCTCAACATCATTAAGCTTCAGGAAAATGAAAAATACAATGATAAAGCATTACATTCCCAGCAAAATGGCTAAATTTTTTAAAGCAAGATATAATTAATGAATAACATTAGTTTCAAAATTATGATACAATGATTTGATATTTGTATATACTGTCAAATGTCATAAGATTTTTTTGTACGTTGGGATGTCTGGGTGGCTCAGCAGTTTAGCACCTGCCGTCAGCTCAGGGCGTGATCCTGGAGACCTGGGATGAAGTCCCACATCAGGCTCCCTGCATAGGGCCTGTTTCTCCCTCTGCCTGTGTCTCTACTTCTCTCTTTCTGTGTCTCTCATAAATAAATAAATAAAATCTTTTAAAAAAAATTGTATGTTTATGGAGATATAATTGACATATACTACTGCATAAGCTTAAAGCATACAGCAGAATGGTTCGACTTATATATATTGTTAAATGATTACCACCTTTAGTTAGCAATTATTGCCTCATATAGATACAATAAAAAGAAAAAGCAGAACATTTTTTTCCTTGTGATGAGAACTCTTAAGATCTACTCTCACTTAGCAAACATATATATCATACAGCAGTGGTTACCTGGAGTCATCATGCTGTATATTACATCCCTAGTACTTAACTATAACGGAAAGTACAAACTTCTGTTTTGTACTTTGTAGCTGAGCTACAAAGTTTGTGCCTTTTGATAGTTTTTCTCCAATTCTCCCTATCCCCATCCCCTCACTTCTGGGAACAACAAATCTGATCTCTTTTTCTGGGACTGCTTTATTTTTTCTTTTCAGATTCCACATATAACTGAGATCATACAGTATTTGTCTTTCTCTGATTTATTTCACTTAACACAATGCCCTCAAGGTCCATGTATGTTGCACAAATGGCAGGATTTCCTTATTTAATGGCCGAATAATATCCATTTTTGTGCAGTCTATATATATATACACACACACCCTACAACTTCTTTATCCATTTACCTGTCAACGGACACTTAGGTTGTTTCCATTTCTTAGCTACTGTAAATAACACTATGATCATGGAGTACAGTATTTTTTCAAATTAGAGTTTTAGTTTCCTTTGAATACATTGCCAGAAGTGGAATGCTGGATCACATAGTAGTTCTATTTTTTGAGAAACATCCATACTGTTTTCCATAGTGAGTATATCAGTTTGCAATCAATCTCACCACCAGTACAAAAGGGTTCCCTTTTCTCCACATCCTCGCACACTGGTCCTTTCTTATCTTTTTGATAATGGCCATTCTAACAGGTGTGAGGTGATAGCTTATTGTGTTTTTTTTTCCCTCTCACTGTGGTTTTGATTTGCAATTTCCCTAATGACTAGTGATGTTGAATATCTTTTCATTTACTTGCTGGTCACTTGTGTATCTTCTTTGGGAAAATGTCTATTCTGGTCTTTTGTTCATTTTTAATTGTATTATTAGGAATATTGATATACATATATGTGTATATATACACATATATGTGTATCAATGACATATTATAGATATATATAATAAAAATATAAAATATATATATTTATTGGAGTTCGATTTGCCAACATATAACACCCAGTGCTCATCCCGTCAAGTGCCC